TTGTGGAGTTCAGGCCGAATCACATAAATTTATGTCCTTGTGGAGTTCAGGCCGATTCACATAAATTTATGTCCTTGTGGAGTTTAGGTACCAATGGAGTACAATATTATGTAAATACTATTATTATAATTAGGTTTTGTCCCGTTTGTATTCTAAACATCAATAATTGAATAGAAAATCATTCATTTGTCCAAAAGTCTTTGTTGTKCTTGGTGTGTTCTCATGGGATTATATAAATTGTTCATTAATACCATTTCACAATGAAATAGAACAACATTTTGTTCATTTTTTAAAGACCATTAGCAAAAACATTGTAATCCCCTTGYAAACGAGCATTTTATCATAGTTGAAAGCCCCAGGTGTGGTAGTTTTCCATTGCAATGTACATTTTACCAGGAACAATTTATTTTTTTCTGTCACTCTTATCTGGTTTGTACGTCTTTGATGCCTGTTCATGAATGACTCAAACCAAGGCCTCCCTACTATATACACGTTTTTTGTATACATACTTGTTGATATCATTAAATATGTACATATTTGTGGAAATACTGTCTTTATTTTTGGATATTTGTTCAAAATGTGAGAACAATCGTGTCAGTCCAAAAATACATGTTTAAAGTGAAGACTGTTAAGGCAAATATGTGAATGGCAAAAACAACTAAATAACTGAACTCACATGTTCAGATTGGGAAAGCTCTTTCTCCGCTTCTTCTTTCTCATTTTCTTGAACCACGTCTTTGAGTACCTATATTTTTTTATCGAAAGTGAAAAGAATGTTATGTTATGTGATTGATAACATGCGATAGTAGGCTTCTGTTGTTGATTTCACAGTTGTAATTTCTAATATTTCTGATATTTTCTAATAATTCTAATTTCTAATATTTCTAGCTACCAGCACATTTATGAAAAGAATTTTAACAACAAATTGATTTTTGCGTATGATTAGAAAAGTTTCAATCGTGGAACCATCCATGATCGATTTTTCCTAGTGTAGTTATAGTATAGCTTTATCCCCCCCACCCCCAATATGAAACGCTTTTATGTAGCGTTGATGTGAAAAATGCCCATGTGCCGTTGGACCTAAAGTTTGATATGGATAAATTTTAAAACAAATAATTCGTTGTCATCTAAATAGGAACTAATTCATAAGTGTGGTATATGATTTGAAAGATGTAATTGTAATATTCTTTTAACTTTGATACTTACTCTGCGGTGACTCCTGTCAGAAAGTTCTATTGGGAGGTTGGACTTTTTCCAGATCGTAGGCACAGAACCTGGATTAACGCTTCTTCCAGCAAGACCATCAATAACAAATTGTCTTCTGAAGCAATGTGGCTCGAAGTGTTCAGAACAAATACCGAATTTTCCTTTTGGATCGAAATTTGCGCATTGTGTTCTCACAAATCTTACCCACAGATGCAATGTGGCTCGAAGTGTTCAGAACAAATACCGAATTTTCCTTTTGGATCGAAATTTGCGCATTGTGTTCTCACAAATCTTACCCACAGATTGTGCGGACTTTTGTTCGTAGGACTCATGCGCAACGAAATCCCCGATTCTGGCCTGGATATATTACTACATCCTTGCACCGCACATCTACTTGGAGGCATCCTATCTCAGGTTTCATGCAAGCATTAAATATATCCGAATTTTTCTTGTGCTTGGTGATAAATCAACTATATACTTTGTGTAGAATGTGTATGTTTTACAGCTGGGGTTGAGAGTGTGACGTCACATGCTCTACAGGGTTGACCTGGCGTTGCTCGCATGCCTGGCACACAACATTTAATGGCGGACTGGGGATTATGAAAAGTAAAGGGGAAAAATAAGCACTTCTTGTTGCCGTATCGAAAAAAGCTTCAGCCAAGTAATAATATAGACAAAAAGCAAACAACAACTTGGGTCATATTTCATCAGAGTAGCACTTTAAAAAATAATTTATATATCAAACGACAAATGTTTTTTGCACTTGTAATAACCTGAGATAATAATCTGAACACTATATGAACATCAACTGTTGAATCTTAAAGGGGCTTAATTGTTCTGCCTAAAATTAAGACATTTGAAATGTCTCATACAGTGCCAAAATGTGTATTGGCAAAGGCCTTGTCATAAACTGTAAAGAAGCTTGTACTGCTTGGTAGCTTTGACTGCATTGATCCAATAGGCAACTGCAGAACATTTGTGCACGTTTGTGCTGTAAGTATGTATTGGTATGGTACTGATTCCTGTGCACCCTTTTCCTGTAGATAAAACAAAAATATTAAAAAGGAACACATCTGTTTATGTGTAAATATTCTAATGAAAGAAAAAAAACATTAATCTCTTCCTGGGAATGGAGTGCAGAGGAAAACCTGTACACACAAGGTGGAAAATTATTATTGATAATCGTCCAAAAATCCATGGATGCTTTCCTTACCGGAAATAACATGAAGATGTTACTCATTTCCAACTTTTAAAGTAAATTATTAACCAGATACGCCCCAATTCTATTGTTTTATGTAGGTTTTGAAAATCAGAGGAATACCTGCATTCTAAAAGCCAGGGGCGGCTTTGATTATCAACAGGGGAGTTTGGGGCTGAATTCAAAACCCAGGATAGGCCTTGAATTCAAAAATCAAGACCTATTCCGGGTTTATAATTCAATGTCATTTCAAGAGCTCACTAGACTTGCACCCAGTCTCGCTCGATAGTTTTATCCGTTTCTTGGGGTTCCTGTGTTATGTTTAAATTTGTCGGTTTCAAAGTGCTCTCCGAGAAACATTGCACGAAGGAGAGAAGAGAACGTGCTGTGTTTTCTCTTAGAGAGCTCGTAAACACAAACACAACTTTAAACACCGTAAATCTACAAATCTCGTTTTGCAAATCTAGATGAAATACTAAGAAAATCGTAGTGGAAACTTTGTTTCGAAAATAAAACAGTACCTCGGTGAGGAATATCCAAGTTAACGGCTCTGGTCTTCATCGTGCTCACCATAAGTCCGGCATCATGTCTCCAACTGACAATATTGCGTGACTGTCCACAGGGAACCCAGTTCTTGAGTTTGAGACTCAACTACGACGGTAGCCAAGTAAGTTAATTGTTTTCATGTACTAGTAGACGAGCATTCTGACACTAAATCAGCAATTAATTTGATGTAAGGTGCCTTTCGTCTTTCTGGAAGGTTTTCAACATCGAGATCGAAATTAATACAAATCAAGCGCAGCATAGCAAAATTTTTTGATTCTATTTTTTGCATACATTTCGCAAATATTATAAGTATCATACGTTATTGGGTGAATAAGCTGTAAATATCCTTAACCGCGTGGTCATCCTCTACTTGATTCCTAACCTTTGCAGCCTTTCTTGAAAAATACGACTGAATTTGTTGAGATGTAAGGAATTTGTCGATGGTAAATCTGAATTATCTATCAAAGCAACTTGCACTCCATTAATGCCACCGGAGGATAACATCGCGTCTCTAAATTCAGCTGCTGTGGTGACATCATTACCTTCGTTGATGTAGCGGCGGACATGAGCTTTAATTGTGGCGGCTTTCCTATCACAAGCCCCCTTACCACCTTGTGGGTCACTGAAAT